GGTGGGGGGGGGGGGGGGGGGGGGGGCGGAGCATTGTATTAATGACCCAAAGAGGTTCAACCCATTAATAAAAAGCTATCAATTCTATACATGGTTTATCATCCCATAATAAATTATGCAACTTCGAATAACAGACAAAAAGAGTACTCACATTTGCAAAGTCATCCCTTCTTCAACTTTCATAATCTGCAAAGTAAACATGAACAAAAATTTTAGCCAGAAGTAATAGTCATGAATACCAATATCCAAAAGATGAAACTTAGCATCCTGTCATCATAATTACCTTGAGAACTTTAGTAAGCGTAAAACATAATACAGAGGAGAAGACCATGTGAAGTAAGGTCAGTCCAAGAGGATAAGGAAAGTTAATTTCCTTTGATGAAAGAACCCACTGCATTTTTATAAAAAATTGAAAGTATATTAGCATGTGAACAAATTTTGCAATCAACTATCCGGCTGCAGCATTCAAACAACAGCAACCACAAACAAATTGGTAATGGTAATTGATTATTTTCGTTGTTTTAAACTTATTTCCACTTTTACATAGAGAGAAGCAGAAGAAAAGGCAAACAGGAAGGTTATAAAGCTGCATCTCTAGCAACGTCTTCCGGGCACATACAGAAGCATGTCTTGCAGATGCATGCATGAGCATGAAAGAAACATTAAACATTGAAATGCTCCACTTGAATCATAAATGACACAAAGAGCGAATGTTCTAAGAGAATCTCCAAGAAACTCTTCAAATTTAAAGAGCATCTTGTGCATAATTGAAAGCAACTTATATTTCAAGAGAAATTTTTGACACGATCTAACAAACTCTTTATTTTACATTTTTCAGCAATCATTTATTTTTCCCTTATTTTTTAATTAATATATATTAAAGATGATAATGGCTCAAATATTTAAATATAGTTTAAATAATATAAGAAGTGGAGCATTGAAGCTTGCAATTTATTAGATCCAATCATTGTAAAATACAATTAGAGAGTGCACTTGGCTCTCGACATGTAGAGAGCCAAATCCACCCTCCATTTTGAAAATTTAAACTGAAGTGCTTGTCGGAACCCATTTTTAAGGATTGAATCTTTGAAATAAAAAGCATCTTACATTTAAAGAGTCTCAAATAAATACTAAACCAATGGTGCATAAAACTTGCAGATCTCTAAAGGTCAATAGTATCCTAGAGGCAAGCAGAAAACACGAAGATTTCAGCAGAAGACGGGACTGCAAAATGTCACGAGTATGAATTAGCCTTGAAAATATACGACTGTAAGTGTCTCTCTTTATCATTGGATGACATAAACACATCCAGAAAGCCTTCCATAATAAAAGAAAATTCCGACAGACAGAAGGTACAATGCAGCCAAGGATTTCCCTTAGGTAGTACTCACATATCACCATTTCATTCACATATACAGAGAAGAATCCCATGGTGCACCAAAAGACTATGACTTTCCATTTTTTTATTTTTTTTTTTGTAGAGGGTACAAATCTATCTTTCTGACTAACAAAAAATCACATTTAGCATAAGTACAAAATCTATAAACATCTATTCCCAAAATTGTCAAGAATAATTCTTAGTTGCAGACTGCAGTTCAGTCACCATGTCATGGGGTGGCTTTCCTAAACACACCAAGTCAATCTCAATAACATGTAATTCTTAGTCAGTACAAATATCCTACATTAATGACTTATGTCACTTAATTACTTCGAATAATCCTACTTTAACAGTTATGATCACCCACAGTTAATCATGCTTATGTACTTAAAGCATTACAAAGAAGAACTACTTATTAATGGAATCGATCTAACCACGTAATTCGATTTCTCATCCATTAACACATATCACCACGGTCCACACCATGCCAGGGAAAATGTCAACGAATGAAGCATTTGGAGAACGCCCTAAACTGCTTCCTTTGTCAAAATTGGCGTTGCTCGCTTGCATTATGCTTAGCTTAACTGGGTCTAATTAATCAAACACTTGACAAAGTTTTCCTCTAATCATACTGTTGTAAAACGCTACACAGCAAGTTATAATCATGGTTATCACAATTCTTACATACGTTTACAGTCACAGGTTTTTTAAAGTAAGAATTTGAAAACCGCAATAGTACCTTGTTGAAGAAGATCTGGCCACTGGAGAGCGCGATATAGAGCAAAATATAGGCGTAGGTTACAAACACTTCTCCGACACATTTACTGTTTCGATCTGCCATTACTACCCAGTGAGTCAATTCACACTCAAATATTTAAAAGCATGGTTTTTTTGTTTTTTTTTTTGTTTTTTTTTTTTTTGATATCCGGTGTCCTAGACTAAATCCTGGAACCCAAGACCCTTACCCCTAGAACTTTGAAAGGGATAAATCGCGGATTATGCCTCAACTGGATCACAGGTTCCCCTATCTTCTGTACACTCCTGCGCACAAGAGACCCTCCTTCATAGTGATTGCTCCATACCAAATATTTGGTCTCAGGTTCCCACCAGAAATCGAACTCTCCACCTTGCCGATGGAAGCAAGACAATATTGATTGATCCACCAGTTGAGCTGTGCCCCGAGGGGCCTTAAAAGCATGGGTTCTTCCGCGACGGGGAGTGGGCAAAGAGTGAGCAAATACATGGAAATGACATTTGGACGGTAGCAAATTTTAGTATTGGCCTTTGAATCATTAAATGAATAAAAAAAAGTTAAAATGTAAGTTTATACTAAAAGGGTGATTTTACCCTTCACTATACACCCGACTGTTAGAAAAAATTCAAACTGACCGATCGACTTTCGAAGAAAACCGACGCCAACTGCCTGAAGAACGACCGATCAACCACCTGCCGAAAATACCAACGTTCAATCCATACCTGCACGCTACTATTCCGGTTAATTTTGGCGCTTGAAGTTTATTATTACAAGTTCCAGTTTTTAGATTCATTATTTTTACTTTTATTCGGTTTAAATTCATCATCATGTAAAGTTGTTAGATTGTGGGTGTGAATAGGGTGAAAATGTGAATTTTTTGTAATTTTTGGACCTCTCCATCGTCGACAATGGCGATTTCGCCTGCGGGAAGACGACGACTGTTAACAGTCGAGTCGATTCGACTGTTAACAGTCGGCTAACAATCGGGTATCCGACTGTTAACAGTTTGAACCGACGGCCCAATCATTGTTAACAGTCATGGGCCGACTGTTAAACAGTCATGGTCCGACTGTTAACAGTCGGTCCAGTGATTGTTTATTTATTTTATTTTTTCAATTTTTATAATTAATTTATTTTTTTATTTGATTAAATAATTATGTTATTTATTTATTTTTTATAATTGTCTTTTATTTTATTTATATAATTTAATTATTTAATTTTTATAATTGTCTTTTATTTATATAATTTAATAATTGTATATTATCTAAAATTAACAATTTATTTTGTTCCTTTTATTTTTGTTTTTATGAAATAATCTTTGAATATTTTTTTTCAAATTTATTTAGATAATATATTTCTTTTTTAAATTTTTTAAAAATGCATTTAATTTGAAATTTTTTGTTCATAAATATATTTTCCAAATGATTACAAGATTAATTTGATTAAACAATAATTATGTTAATTTTTTTTATAATTCCCTTTTTTTATATAATTTAATAATTGAATAGATAATGTTGTCCGAAATTAACAATTTATTTTGTTCCTTTTATTTTTCTTTTATGAAATAATCTTTGATTTTGTTCTAATTTATCTAAATAATATTTATATTCTTTATTTTTTTAAAATGTATTTAATTTGAATTTTTTTTTTTTGTAAATATATCTTCCAAATGAAATATACAAGATAAACTAAATTATTTTAATTTTTAAATTTGCATTGAATTTATTTTGTTATTAGCGTCAATGTCTTGCGTATTGTATGATAGTTATAATTCGGTTGCCTTGATTTTTTGAGATTATGCGCTACTTTATTATCTATTGTTCGATATTCTAACATTTGAATTTTTGCAGGATGGAGTATCATTTAGATGGGGAGTTGAGACGGATGGAAAGCTACTTGGAACAGTAGCTTTGAGAGTTTTACTGCGGTGTTGGAGCTGCTTGATGATTATCACAGAGATATACTGCGACAGTCCTTTTTGTGGCCACTGTACCAGAAGCGAGAGGTGCAGTACTCAGGACAGATCATCGATGCACTTCTATGTCGACTTTTGAGGCCAGTCAATGGCGATTCCCTCCACTTCAACCTCGGGGGTAAGGTCGTCAGTTTCTCGATTTATGAGTTTAGCTTGATCACTGGACTGAGAATTACGGGCGACGATGCAGCCATTGAGAAAAGCAATAAGCTGTACAAGATATACTTCCAGGGACATGGGTCAGTGCATCTACCCGAGTTGATGGTTGCGATTAGGGGGTGCGACCAGATGTTAGATAGATTGAAATTTGGGCTGGCCTACATCCTCGAGAGTGTGATGAGGTGTCATCACAAGAAGACTGTCATCGACATTTTTCATTTGGAAGTTGTTGATGACATTGATGCGTTCAACAACTATCCATGGGACCAGAGATGCTATGAGGACACCGTACATGTCTTCATCAGATTACACTCGAGGCCCAGGGGGTCAATGCGTAAATACGATACATACGGGTTGCCCTTAGCGGTGCACGTAAATGTTTAATATAATTAAAGTTAAAGTTTTAGTATATTACATTTATGTATAATAAGTGTATGTGTTGCAAATTTGGGTGTATGAGACAGTCCCTGCACTAGGAGCCCGCTTCGCGAAACGAGGAGAGACACGATGCCCTCGAACGCATCATTGGAGATCGTCGCGAGCGGAGGAATGTCCCAAAGGGAAACAGTTATCGGCCCTCCTCGACAATCCTCAGGTAAGTATTATGCATTTGTGATTTATATTATACGTAGTTTAAACATGTTTACATGATCGTTAACTAGTTCAAATGTCAATATGTCAACTTGAAGTCATACCTGAGTTGACGTCGTCGATGGAAGAGGAGGCTCGGGGTCTTGTGCGGGATGTAGGCGTTCCGCACACCGAAGACAAGCATATGTCTGATCCGATTGTGGACCGAGATTGGGTATGTGAATTAAATATAATTTATTGAATATCGTCGACATATAAATTTATTAAATAATTTTTAATGTTATTTATGTAGGAGGGCGATCCAGCTGATCGGCGATCACCTCCGTCAAGGGTATCGCCGCCACCATTGGCATCACCTCCGCCGAGGGCATCGCTACCGACAGTGGCATCGCCTCTACCATTGACATCGCCACCGCCGAGGGTATCTCCTTCTCCCTCGTCCAGACACATCCCCCGTGTATCATCGACACACACTGATGATTTGTATGCCCGTCTGACTAGATTTATAGCGGAGGAGGTTGGCGCGCTATGACGAGAGTTGACTGAGAGGGTCGATGATCTGGGACGAGAGTTGACCGGGAGGGTCGACGATCTGACGGGGAAGGTCGACTATCTGATAGGGAGGGTCGAAGATATGGGACGAGAGTTGAAAGGGAGGGTTGACGATATATCCCATGATGTTGGAATGCTACGGTCTTGCGTTGTCGACCTTCAGGATGCGGTAGCGACACTTAGAGAAAATTTAGCCGCTAGGCGATGGGGGGACAGAGGGAATGGTGGAGATGATCGAGATGGTGGCAGAGATAGCAATGGAGAGGGGGGTCACCCAAATTTTTGGCATGATGAGACATTAGAGTCATTCTAATTGTCTATGGAAGGGAATAGGTTGGCCCCGAGGGAGGGCGACGGGGGGAGGCACCGATGGGAGAGACGGAGGAGGTGGCGACAGAGGGGGAGGCCCCGATGGGAGGGGCGGAGGAGGTGGCGACGGAGGGGGAGGCATCGATGGGGGGGACGGATGAGGTGGCAACGGAGGAGGTGGCCCAGATGGGAGGGGCGGATGAGGTGGCGACGGAAGAGGGGGCCCCGGAGGGTGAGAGGACGCCCATCGTGATTGAGGGTAAGAGACATGCTGTTGATGAGACGGAGCATGTGGTCGGCAAGAGGTTGAGAGTGTCATCATAATATGTTGTTTCCCCCTTCACGGTTGAGGCCAAGAGGAGGACGTTCATCGATGGGACGTACCTGAACTTATTCAGAGAGGTGACAATGCCAAGTGGAAAGCATTCGAGACGGAGTGGAGGATAATTATCCCCGGGTAAGTATTGTTTGATTTTAATAAAGCACTGTATGCTAACTCCTCTATGCTTATTTTAACATTTCCCTATTTTTTCAGAGCTAACCGCACGATAGGTAACCAGACGGTCTCGGACGCTTACAAGTGGTTCCACGATATCACGACTTTGGGAGCTTGGCTCGCCGACAATGTAAGTGAACTATTCATTTCGTGTTTTGTATGTATACGTCACTTTGTGTTTATTAAATGAATAACAAATAATTTTTTGGTGTTTCTTGATGAAGCACATCGACCTGGTCATGAACTTGCTGCGAGATCGAGCTCAGAGACATTCAAAATCATTTGACGTCCATGGTCGAGTCATATTAAACACCGAGTTCCTGCGTGCCGTTACCATAGAGTATCAGTCGCTCCAACTTATGGGTAACAAGTATACGGTGCCAGAATATATGCTCGAGTGGGTTATAGGATTGTCACCGAGTGTCGGGGGAAAACCATGGGAGGGTTGTACACATATGTACATTCCAGCGTGCATCAATAAGCACTATGTTACGCTGGAGATCGTTTTTCCTGACACGACTATATATGTGTACGACCCAGATCATTCATGTTTGACACAAGGCCAGTTAGAGCAAAACTTGGAGTCCGTAGCTGTAATTGTCCCTATGATGGCCAAACAAGCGGGGATGACTGTACAGGACAGATTGTAGATTGTTCGGAACACGACGACATCACGACAGTCCGTAAGGTAAGTGTTTGAATTTTGTTGTTTTCATCTTTCAGATTTAGTTTTTTAGTTGCACAGTACTGAACTGATCCATTCTTGTTCAATTGTAGCGGCGACTGCGGCATATTTGTCATTAAGTACGTTGAATTTTTAAGTATAGGACATAAGGTTGATGGAATCAACCAATCGTGGATACAGAACTGGAGAAAGAAGTTAGCATGTGATTTGTTCGAATTTAATGCTGACCTATAAATTTGTATTAAATATATGTAACATTCGAATTGTAAATTTAAATATTTTTTGTGATTATGAAATAATTGTAAATTTGTGTTCGGTGTATATAACATTCACATTATAAATGTAATTATTTATATTATTATGAAA